TCTCTTTATTTATTCCTTGCTGTTTCCACTCGTTTCCTCTCTATTTTTGCACTTTAAAATGACCGATTAGACATTTTCTCAAGGTAAAAAAGCAACTTCATTGAACACAAAATCTGACTGATTTATTTTTCAACTGAATATAAAATACAATTGTATCTTTTTTCAGTATCAACTCTGATCTGACAACACTTTTTATATCAAATAAATGATGGGTCTTGTTTAAAATGAATAATTGGTCTTTCTTAAGAAGTCTCAAGATCAAAGTAAACTTCTTTAACAACATATGTTAGTCAAACTAATTAGTAATAAAAAATGAAATTGTTAATATGTCCAAAAATGCCCTGCATAGTCCATGGTGGGACAAGAAAAATGTCACCACTTTATGTCGCCATTCTATTACAGCTGCCAAATGCTCAACACCAACCGCTGACCACCAAACACCAACCACTGAACAACAACCACCAAACACAATCCAAAACAAAAGTTGGAGCCTATAACAATTTGTCACCACTTTTGGTAGTGACATAAAATTGGAAGATAAGAAAGAAGTAAAATCAAATATTTGGAAAGGGCGCAGTTCTACCCGTATAATATCAAATTATGTTTTATGATAAACTCTGAATCTGATCTGAGAATTCCAGAAGAATCTCCTTAATTAAATTTCCTAAATCTTGTGGTGACAATATAAAAGATCACAGGAATTCCCCTTGAAAAAATCTGTTGAAAAATATTCCTCTTTTCCTCCCTCCCTCCCAACTCCCCCTTTCCTTCCCCTCTCTATAAAGATGAAAAGGCAACCAAAAGTGAGAAGAAACAGTATACTGTCTAAATTAAAACCAAAATAATGCATAATTTACATTTATAAACAATGGAATAAATGCCCAATAAAAATGAGAAAGACATTGACACAGTACATTGACGTTTAATTAAAAATTTATGTCAAGTTTTTATATCACCAACAACTTGGGAAATTAGACGCATGACTCATCAAGATAACTATTGTCTTAGCGTTTGATAATTCTTGTCCTTAATCAATTTTGAAAAATATATCACTTTATGTTATGAAGTTCTTAAATGAAAAACATTGTTTTAGTTTCCACCATAGATATTGAGCTGAAAGTTAACATCCAGGAATAATCTGTCAGAAAGGGAGTTCAGGGAAATATTAAGCTTTAATATCAAAGTAATAAGCATTTATGTTGAAGTAATAAGCTTTGCATTAAAATAATAAGCATTGGTGCAAAAGCAATAAGTTTTGGTGTGAAGGTTTGGCAGGATAATAATGAGGTATTTTTCATGAGGTCAGAACAACCCTTAAGTTGTCAGCTTTGATCAAATGTTTTCCTAAATTGAGAAACATCTCTGTAACATACCTTTAACAGAACTTCTTCACCTCTTGAATCCCAGGTTCTAAACTTGGGTTTGAAGCCAAGGAATCTTTCATTTTTGCCAGCCTTCGACATTTTACTGCATGTACATACATATACAACAGGCGATGCTCAACTTAGTGAGATCAGTCGGCAGAGATCATTTCTACACATTTTAATTTTTACACATTTTGGTGTAAATTGGATGAAACTGTCCAAATTAGAGCGATTTTAGTGAAAAATTTTGTGACCGATTTTCTCGTCACTTTAGGTTTCAAGGTCATTTCTAAGGTGACGAGAAATCTTGTCACTTTGGGAAGTCAAGAGGTTTAAGAGATGTACATTCCTTCACATAAGTTTGGCAACTGATTTAGTCTCATCCAATCAGATGAGGTCACATTATTACTTGCATAAAAGTCATGCAGGATTTTGTGCCTGTGTAACCCTCAAAAATCCTAAGTTACTCAGCTTTTTTATCAAAATGCTTTGAGTAATTAAACCTACATTGTAACTCTAGCCTGTGCCTACTAGAATCATTGATGTATTCTCTCTCGGGCTCAAGAAGCTAAAGCCCTGTTACAAATTGCTATTAACAATGAAACACTATTAAGGACATGCTTACTTAACTCTTAATCTCCAAGATATTTGATACATCCATCCAGTGCAAGGGGCTTATATTATGAGATAGACTTATCAAGCGTTGCATCGCAGGCAAATGGGAATAAAGTGAACAATTACAAATAATCCCAAAAATTTTCATCTTTATAACAAGGTAACATGTCATAGCATGAGAGGTATACTATACCAGGGGATTTCATATTCCATACAGTTGACCTCATGAGAGGTGAACAATTATCTATGATATTTCAACTGTATAGCACAAAACATACCAGAGATTGCATTCAAATTTTACAAAGAAAATGTGAGAATATCCAAATGTCTAAATTGCAAGCAGGAGCAGGAGCTCAATAATATTTATGATTTGACTTTTTGAGACAGGATAATTTCTAGAGAAGGGTCGGCTACGGTTCGGTTCGATTAACCGCGGTTTTTGGCCTCACGGTTCTACTGGGACCGTCTGATCACCAAGAACCGAGCCCAGAACGGTTCCATCATTCCCGGGGAAATACTTTATTTTCGTGCAGTGTAACATGAATACCAATTTTTTTGCGCAAATAATTACAGCTCTATTTCATCTAAATAGCGAATGAAAAAAACATTTAAACGACAATTGAACAACTTTAAACGATCCATACGGTAATAAAATCGTCTCCTTGGATATTTCATTGTTCTTCCACGTCTCAAGGGAACATAATTCTACTTGCGAGCGTGAATTTATTTCGTGCGGAAACACTTGTGTTTTAAAAATGGCGGACAGTTTTCGAAGTCTTAGGCAAAGAGCTAGTAAAACCATAATAGAGCCTTTCCCTGCAATGCCTAAGTTGGATGCTTGGAAGTATTCGGTTTCTACGATGAAAATACGTCTACCCTATGTCGGTTGTGCAACACGACATTGAAATACGCTGCAGGTTTCCAATTTTTGTGATAGAAACTTTTTGTAAATTTTTTTAATTTTAAAAATTAAGACCGCGATCTTTATTAGACTTCAATTCATTCCCTATCTTGTAACTGCCTCCTATTACCCACTCATATGCCTCCTATTACCCACTCATAGTAACATTTTTTATGACTGATATATACACTTTTTCATGTGTCCTACCTCAGGTCCCAAGTCAGGTTGAGAATTTGGGTAAACACCCCTAGCTCCACTGCACTGTTATTCCCAACTGGAGGACAACTGTGCTATCCATATAATTTTAGTTTTCAGGAAACACATTGTCTGCCGTGAGGAAACATATTGAAAGGTCTTACCCAACCAGACCCAGTTTAAAAAGGAATCCCTCTCATCTAATACGGGGCAAGCAACTTGTTGATAGCCACATACAAATAATTCAATTCTAGTTATTTAATTCCATAATTATTCAATGATTATCAGCTATCATCATTCCATATTGATCATTTATAAGATTGAAAATGAAATTATATCCCCTAATAATACAAAATAAAAGTGAAACACCTTTTTATGTTGCCATATTTGTGGCACCAATTGCAATTTATGAGGCCCACCTTATTAAGTATATGATTGAAGAACCGACCGAACCGAGAGACAAGAACCGAGAATCGTACCGAACCGAACCGTGACCGACCCTTCTCTAATAATTTCGAAAGATGAGACTATCTATTTTCTATCAGTTTCTATTTACCAATAATTATCATTTGTTTGCAGTACAGATATCTTTATCAATTTCCACCTAAAATGTGGACATATTGACTGGACTTCTGGCATGATTTTTATAAGAGTGTTGAATTCATGTCTGTTTACTTTATTCCTTGCTAATTCCACTCTTTACCAATGTATTTTCAATTTTAAAACATTCTCATAAGTCATATCGATGAGATGACTCCTGTTGACCATATAAGTTGACAGGGAAAAGGTCTTCCTGAAGTATCGGATGTTCCCAAATGCAGGATATTAAAGGAAATTGTTGCAGAAAGTTCAAATATTCAGTTTCAAAACCTTATAAAAGTCTACTTTACCTCAAAATGTATTTACATTTTGCTACACTTCCCCCCATTGAAATAAATTCAGAGAGTTCGTCCTCAGATTATATCTCATAACTACTAAAAATCTGTCAAATGATATTGTGACAATATTTAGATAACAACCGAGAAATAAGATCAATACAGAAGCAATTTTAAAAGGGTTATAATTACGAATTACAGAAAAAATTATGCATGAATTGAAATTATACTCTATGATGTTATTGTTAAGGATGATAGTAATTAACAAGTGAGTCACGCTCTATGGACGTCTTGTCACACAATTCGCCACCAAAAGATTTCTCCGATCCTTCATATTTTCCTCATTTCCTCTCTAAAATTTGAATGAACTACATAATTTTCTTGCATTTCTATACAATTTAGAGTGTTAACTACATGTCTGTTTATTTCATTCCTTGCTAATTTCACCATTTTCCATTCAATTTTGGAATTTAAAACACGGCCCTCATGAAATATTTACGCAGGTTTTTGAATGAGCATTTTTATGATTGATAGACATTTGAGACACTATGGGAAGCATAGCATTGATTGTTTCAGATTCTGAGAGCTCTAAGAAGTATGATTAAGAATAATTAAGATTTTGAATAACAGAGTTACATCAGTTCCTAATTACAGTTTTATATCAGTTTCTAATGGTCAGTCTTACATCAGGTACATTTTAGTTTCTAATTGACAGGTTGACCATATTTGGAACAACTAATTCAGTTCTTTTAAACCTGAAGTGAGGATAAAGCACGAACAGCAACATTACATGTTACATCAATTTCCTGTGATTCTCTCTTTATGTTTTGTCTTCTTCACACAAACATTTTCACCACAACTTGTCTATTTCTCTCTAAAATTTGAATGAAATGTTTGATTTTCTTATATTTCTGTACAATTTAGACCATTATATACATGTCTGTTTACTTTATTCCTTGCTGATTCCACTCTTTTCCACTTTATTTTTCTTTCTAAAAACATGATCATCATAAAGCTTTTCTAAAATTTAAATTAATAAATATTACTTACCTGGAGGAGGTGCGTGTGGATTAGGAATATACACAGTGCCCGATCCAGTCTGAACTAAATAATGGGGCTCAAAGTCCGTATCCATATCTCCGCTATTTATATCCTGGTATGTCCCTGTGCCGCTAAAATACGAGCCGGGCATTGATATGTTGCTACGCCGATCCATGCTTGGGTCATACTCGCAGTAGTTCCCTCGTTGTGATGGACCGAAGTGATTGAAGTTTCGTCGTTGTGGGGGTGGGGGAATGTGACTCGGCGGTGGAGGGTCGGGCGGATCTTCCGTAGGAGGTGGCGGTATTGGTGGGATAGGTGGCGCTACTGGTAGCGTGGCTGAAAATACAAACAAAATTGATAATTACTAATTATATAATTATATTTAATTCGTATTCATTTGATTGATTATTCTTGATAGCTTAATCATACCCTGAACTCAGGTAGGAGTAAAGATAAAACTCTCTTTAAAAGAAACAAAATCAGAATATTGAAGAGCCAGCCAAATAACTATGTTGTTAATTTAATATAACATTACAACAAAACATTTAGTAATTAATGCAATGTGCATTCCATTGTCTGGTGAGGAAACCAGTCCATATCTAGATAACAGGCTTTCCTCATGTGTTTAAAGCAGATAATCACAGGGGGTCACAGACTGGATTCACAGAATGACTGCTTCCTAAATTTAGTCTTCTATGAAGCCCTTAACCCCCTCCTCAAGCTATATATATCTAGCCCACAGAATAGATGAATGGCGGGAGTCGGGAACTTGTAAAATTTAAGACAGGTGTGATGTATTCTATGTTTTGCATCCATACTATTTTTGCATCTATTTTATAGGTCTGCTGCATGCGTAATTTCACCACATATTTCTAAGATATGAAATTTTCCTTATATCAGAATCAAATCCTGTCTAACTTACTGCATTAATTGTCTTTAACAAAGAGTTTTTCCCATTTAAACTATCTGTTTTTATCCATGTATTTTCCACTTAAATATTCCATAAATATGAATTTTTCCTAATTTTTATCCCTCTCTGGCTCCTGCAAGGAACATCCATAAAGGATTATATTTTCCATATTTTACATGTATTATCTTATTGCCTGGTTAATGCTTAAAAGAGCATTTCATGTAAAACCTGCAAACACTTAAGAACTTCCTAGAACTCGACATGATAAGTTCTTAAGTTTTTAGTACAGTAAAACTTGTTTAATGCGAACACCATTGGGACAGGCCAATTGTTCAGATTGGCATGTGTCCTCTGAATCAGATATTCAATTATCTGTGTAGGATGCATAAACAAAAATGTTACAATGATATACAAAGCATAACACGAAAAATGTCACCACCTGCCATTTGTTACAGATGCTGACCACCAAATGCCAACCACTGAATGCAAACCGTCAAACACAATCCAGAAAAAGTTGGAAACTAAAGAGCAGAAAAAGGCCAAAGGCTTACCACCAAACAATAATTGAGAATAGATAATTATTAGCAAGCTTGGAGTTATTTCAATGAATTATTTGTACCTTTCACATATAAATTCTACATTGTTTTTCAGATTCTTTTTGGATTATGAATATCTATTAAAGTTTCTAAGCTTGGCTGAATTCAATCTGCTAATATTGATATAATATTTATTGAGTCAGACTGAGATATTGAACTGAACTAAATATTTTATATTTTCATAAATCTGTTGTTACATCACATAAAATGTTCATTTTTTCCTAGACATGCCTGGATATAACTGCAGTGATCTCTCCAGGATTAAAGCAAGTGGGCACAGCACCCACCTGAGATTTTGAAAAAAGACTTGCACCCGACTGAAAATTCATTTGCACCCACTTGAAAATGAGAAAAATCATGAAAAATAGGCATATTTTGACCAATTTTGGTCTGAATTGTGCAAATGAGAATTTTGCACCCACCTGAGAGAAAATCCTGGGGAGATCAATGAACTGTATAATCTTGACAAACCATTATTTACAATTCTCATTCTTTTCTATTTTAAACTATATGAGGCAGATGAGGCAATCGCCTCACCAAAATTGACAGAATTTTGGCCTTACCAATCTAAATTTGCCTCACCATTTATTAAACCAAATGTACACACTTTTGAAATTCTTTAACAACACATACATACCTCAGTTTTTGACTTATAACAGCATCATTCTTATCATCATCATCAATTAATTAATTAATCAATCAATCTTATCATCGATAATCCAATTTTCTATATATCCATAAGTATTTCCAAAAATTGGTTTGGACTTATCTATTGTGACTCTGTGGTGAGACGTGCAATGAAAAAATAACTGTATTCTTATATCTAACATTACAGTATACTGTAAATTGATTAAATTCAGCAGTATTTAATTCAGCGAATCTGACATATTCAGAACCTTGGTAGTCATTTATGTGGTTGATGTTTAGAGAAAATATAAGAAAATGACTTTGGAAAACATGGCTATTGATTAATTGTCCACTGAGTTGAGGATTTTGTACAGAATAAGTGAATTGCTGAATTAAATCAACTGCCAAATTTAAACAATTTACAGTACACTTCTACAGCCCAAGCAGAGGAATGCTGTGGTATGATTACAAATTACAGCACTGATGAGTTGTAGCATCACTATTTAGAATGTCTTCCTGCGTTTAAACACAACATAGTGTTTAACAAGACAGTAACATGCAAAATATCACTGCCTGCCATTTGAACACCATCCACTACCACAAAAAGTTGAAGCTGTAACATCACTTGTGGTGGTGTCATAAAACAAGATGTATTGAAATTAAAGCACGGGTTTAAACAGTGCAGTTATTCAACAGAAGTGTTCATTGTTAACAAGTAATGAACAGTAAATAAGCAATTTGATTGGTCATAGTATTTGGTCATAGTTGAACTTAAGATAAAATTCTTTTTCATTGTTTCTTTAGATACCTGTATATGTATATTACATAATCTGGCTTGCTAATTTGCCATAGTAGACCATGCAGTAACATCAACTAAACTCTCAAATATATACTAATAAGTAAAATCTCATATCAAATACACTCTCAAATGGATACTGATCGTAAAAATTCATTTCAAATATACTCTCAAATGGATACTGATCTGTAAAATCTTATTTCAAATACAGTTTCAAATGGATACTAATGAGTAAAATCTCATATCTTATAGTTTAAAATAGTTTGGATGTGTTGAAGCCATGGAATACCCCCAAACTCTGCAACCAGGATTGGTAAAAAATGAAACTCATACAAGGCATGTTTGTTTATGTAGCTTTACATCACGGCTTGTCACATCCTATTTCACTTTAAAAACCCACCTCAGAGATACCAGTGTAACTAATCCTGACCAGTCATGCCTTTCATGGTATTTCTCTGTAAAATTTGAATGAACTATATACAATTTAGAGTGTTAACTACATGTCTGTTTACTTTATTTCTCGCTGATTCCACTCTTTTCCACTCTTTTCCACTCTATTTTCAATTTCAAATCATGACCAACTTTAAACTTTTCATGGGGTACTTGTAATCCATAGTTCTATTCTTCCTACAAAAGTTAGCCATTTTAACCCTTCTCCCCCCCCCCCTGTACACACCACAAGGGCGTGAAGTAGATGGGGGGGGGGGGGTGAGGGGGTTGGTACAGAAACTTGATACTAGACAAATTCTTCTCATTTTGATCTCTGTTTTTCAAAAACAGGAGATCACGACTTTTTGACATTTGGTTGAAATATTACAACCTTGGCTCAGACAGGTTTCAGCACCACACCAGAGGTGGGTATAATTATGAAACTAATCCTAGATGACATCACTTCCTAAAACATTTTTTTATGGCATGAGGTTGTATTTATTTTTGAGGAGAAGCCCTTCAAGTTAACCAGTCATTTTGTATCTTTCACTGATATCAAAAGTATTTAGTGACTCAATAATTCATTTTCATAACATTCAAAACCAAAATTAGGTTCAGGTGTTCCGAACACATTTATTTATTTGAAGGGGTTGTTTCGACTTTGAACGTTAACTCAATTTTGAATAAACTCCAAATGAAGCTTAGAAAACAACCTAATTGGAAAAACAACGATAAATTGAATTTCCTGACATTGACTTTAAGGAACTTAATTGTTATTCTCTAGGTTATTGTATACTGTGATTATTGTACTCTATGTCAAGATGACAATACTTTCATTAGATAATATCAACAAAATAAGATTTCAATTTCGAGAAAATTGGCTCTGGTATATCAAATTTTGGAAAAAGCAAATATTTTCTTTGAATGAAAAGAACTTATATTAAGTATCATTTTGTTTATATGTTTCCAAAACTTTATTGAACTTAATAAGTCTATGACTGACTACATGAGTAATTGCTTTTTCTACAGTATGGCTCCTATACAAGTAGTATATGACACAGTCAAGAAATAGGCGACCCCCCCTGGCCAAAAATTCTTTCAAAATCATGCAGTTTTTCACCATTTTGACCATTTCTCAAGTGATTTTAGCCATATTTGGGCCAAAATTGTCAAATGTGAACCCCCCTGGAGATTTTTGAAAACTGAACCCCCTTGGCAAATCCTGGCTATGGGCCTGATACCCTTTTCATAAAGAGTGAGTTCTCAAATCCTGGTATTATTGTATCTTGCACATGATATGATGATAATAGTAAGGGTCTTTACATTATTCACTCATTTCGCAACAACAAATCCTCGTATTAGCAGTCAGCACACAGTATTGAGGGGGAGGGACTATAAATCTTAGATACTGTACCATGAGTATGCATTAATTGGATAAATACTTTGAGATGAGACAATTCTTAGCATCTTGATACTTATAGCATCTCTTTCTGATGCATTGTAGATTTCAAGAAGAACAGAGATGGAGAAGACAAGGTAACAACAATGAATGAGATAAGCTTTTTTCTGGCGCCCTTGAATGAATGCGCTCTTGATGAATGTTTCCATGTCTGTTGATACCTCTATTTTCTGATACAGTAACACATAAGTTAATGGATTACAAGGTTACAAGGGGCCAACCAGGGAGTCCTTTCAATTTTTAAATGAGTTGTAACAAAACCATAGATTTAATTTTAAATGTTAAGGTTTAAATTGCATTCTATTCAAATGCTATCATTGTTAAACCATATATCTGCTTTAAATGGCCTAATTGGCCTTTTGCAGATTATTGATGACGTAGAAGAAAAGTGTTCCACTTGAGGTGTTCCACTTACATAGGTGTTCAATTGTATTCCACTTTACAAGGTGTTTTACTTACGGAGGTGTTCCACTTGCAGAGGTGTTCAACTTATAGAAACGTTCTACATATAAAAGTGTT